TTCAGAAAATAATGGCAACATATGTACAAACATGCTTGATATAATTGGTGTATGGATTGTCATAAGAGCTGTAAGAGCCCCCAATAAAATGATCTTTGAATAAAAAATTAAAAGCATGACAGTCTCACAGGCCCACAGGGCTGTTCTGCCCTGTCCTAGAGCTGCTGAGTTGGAAAACTATTCAGGAACAAGGGAATCTGGTTCCATACAATAATAGAGCGGGGTTTTGTTTTGTCCTTAGCTTGGAAGGGATCTAGGAGTTGGCTAGTAAATGTGGTCATTGTAAGGCAAGGAAACGGAAGTTCACGATCATTGTGTTGCAAATTCAAACTAGAACCTTATGGCTCTCTGAGTACTCATCTTGTTTTCCCTCTTATACTACTTAGTTTATAACTTGATTACATTACTCACTGAAGGTTTTTTGTCCTGTGGCTTATTTTGTCAGCATAGACGTAGTCACAGTCACCCAATCTCTTCCAGAGGCTTGCTGAGAGAATCTCACGAGCGTGTAGGTGAGAATCCATTGAACTCTTAGAGCAACATGTGACTCTAGATAGTCCTCCTTAGTAGTCGATGACAGTTTTTTCAAATGGATTTTCTGATATCAAAGGTTTCCAGGGAGTGACTATAAAAGTCTTTTCCCTAGCATGCCTCCACTTATTTTCACACTTAGACTCACAGCATGGTCTGGAGGGAAAGCAATTTAAAGGTGTAAGATAGGCCCACCAATAATTTAAATACAAGTAAGTGTGCCATGAATGTGGCAGGAGCAGTGTGGATTGTCATGAGTTCTGCGGAGGAACAGCTTCCTGGAGAAGGTAGCCTTCGGGAGCACGTGGGATGCCAGCAGGTCTCTGGGTGGTGACAGCAGATTGGGCTCCATGATTACCCTAATGCAGTGGTTCTCAACCTTCCTAATGCTGAGACCCTTTAATAAGGCTCCTCATGTGGTGGTGACCCCCAACCATAAAATTATTTTCGTTGCTACTTCCTTCATCACTGTCATTTGCTACTGTTATGAATCAGGTGACCCCTGTGAAAGGGTCGTTCGACCCCCAAAGGATCACGACCCACAGGTTGAGAATCACTGCCCTAAAAGTTGGTTTTAGAACCATCCGGAGACACCATGGAAGAATCCTGGCGATCTGCTTCTGCTTTCAGTGAGAAAACCCTCTGAGTGATTCTGTGAATCCCTTGTAGTCAATGGCAGACTTGACAGCGCTGGGATTGGTTTGATTTGGAGAGATTCCAACAGGGAATAACAGAGAGGGGAAGGACCTTCCTTACAATAAGAAAATGCCTCCTTTAGGGAGAGGGAATCCGGTAAGAAGGGTAACACAGGCTTAGCCAATCGCAAGTCCTGTGGGCAAACCGATAGGATATACAGTACCTGGGATGTAAACTACTGAGAATCTATTCTGGAGGACCCCGATTCCATAACTGAAACTTTGGAATTCTTTGGAATTATCAAATGAAAGTTTCAAACCGCAGCCTACAAATGACAATGTTCTGAAGTGTGAAAGTCCACTTTATGAAAATAAGACCATGCTCACAGAGCTTGTAGCCTTTTAATTGTTTCTTTCAAGGATATCCTAGTAGCATTTACAAGTGGGGCAAACATGTTTTGAAAGTAACTTTTTGGTGTACCAAGAAGCCAACACCCAACCCATTGCCGTGAGCAGATTCCAGCTCACAGGCGACAGCCCCACCTGTTACAAACAGCTGCCCCATGTGCTTTGGTTGGCTGTAATCCTCTAACAGAAGACCAGCGGCCCTTTCTTCCATCTGGCTGCATTCAGAGCACCAGCTTGAGGTTAGTAGTCAACATGAGAGCCACAATTGCCTGAAAACCGAACTTTTGGTGCACGTGTTGTTGAAAAGCAACGAGGAGAAGGAAGGGTGTGAGAAAGGAAATCACACACCATCAAACAATTAAGACAGAAATCCCAAACCTGTCTATGTAGAATTCTTGTACCTATCCTGCCTTCCAAAAACATCGGATACAAAAATTAGGAAAAGACCATAGCCCATTGCCACCAAGTTGATTCTAACTCATAGCCACCTGTAGGACAGAGGAGGCATGCCCCGCAGGGTTCTCAGGCTGTCCACACGTCTTTACAGAAGCAGACTGCCAGATCTTTCTCCCAGGGGG